CTCCGCGCCCACCAGCCTGTGAGGGGAGGGGAGAGCACCTGGCACTGGGGGGGGGGCGGGCGGCCTGCCACCGCCCCAACCTGCCACGGGGCACTCGGCAGTGCGGCAGCATTAATTGCCACTGCTCCCCGCTGCCCTGTTCCCAACCCGTGGAGAGAGCGGCACGGGCCAGCTTCGGCCCACGGGGCGGGGGTTCAGCCGCTGGGCTGGAGCGCCTCTGGCTGGATGCTCCCTCTCTAGCATCTACTGCCACAGCTCGGGGCGGTATGGGCCATTGCTCTGAGCCAGCAGCACTTATGTTTGAAAGCTGCCCTCCTTTCCAGTACCTTACACCGGACCTGCTGTGTGCACACCAGGTGCAGGCAAGCACCAGTCGAGCTCCAGGACCTAGGCTTTTTCCAATGGAAAAATGGAAAGGATGCCTAAGATGCTTCTGAGCACAACCCAGAGTTCCTCGGTGGCTATGTAGTTGCATAAAATCTGCACTGATTTTGCCTCAGCAGAAATTTAAGAGAGCAGGACATTGTCCTGTAACTGCATTCACAGCAGGGGTGTCAAACTCTTCTGGACCCAGGGGCCAGATTGATGGCACAAGGCCAGCCCGATAGGCTCACAGATTTCCACCTCTCCCCAAGGCCAGTTCCAGTGCACACAGCACCCACCCCAGCCCCTGTAGGACATGCGGACCCAGCGTGCTGGCAGGGGTTCCAGACTGGTCCCATGTAGGGATCATGTGCTGCAGGTCCTGCATCCCCATGCAAGGAGGCAGGCTGGCTTTTGTCTGGTATGTAGGTCAAATCAAGACCCAGGGCCTGTATGAGAGGCCAGATGATGCAACTCCATGGGCTGAATCCAGCCTGTGCTGTATCCTTGACACACCTACTTTAGAGCTATTAAGCACAGCAGTCATAGATACACTAGACATGCATATAGCAGAAGGGAGTTCTTACGGCATAAGAGCCAGTCAGTGGCTCCAAGGGCAGAGGAGATGGAGCATTCCTTTAGAGAACAACTGGAAGGTGGTACAAGTAGTTCTGTTTTCTGACTTCTTGAACCAATGTAGCCATAAGAGCATGCGTAGCATATCTGTAACAAGGTACAGAATATTTGCCTCTATAAGCTGTAAATTTTCCCTGCCTTTTCAATTTGCACTTGCCTACAGTCAGGTTTTCTGCAGACCCAATCAGAACCCCCCATATGTATATGCTGCTCTGGTATAAACTGCAACTTGCATTAAAGCCTTTGCTGAAATTGTCAGCGCACAATGTTTTTATACCAGCACAAATGTGTTAATACAAATCCTCCCCGATTTCTCAACAGACAGAATCATAGAACAGAAGGACCAGAAGGGACCTGTAAGATCATCAAGTTCGGTCCCCTGCCATGAGCAGGAGGTAATTGGACTCAAATGAGCTCAACAAAGGTGCTTGTCCAGCCTCCTTTTGAACCCCAGCAGGGATGGTGACTGCACCACCTCTGCTGTAAGTCTGTTCCAGATTCTAGTTACCCGGACAGAAAATAGTTTTTCCTTATGTCTAGCCAGTTTTCCTTAACTAGCTTGTGCTCATTGGACCTTGTCTTCCCCCAAGGGCTCCCTTTCTGAAGAGTTCCCCCCCTAGATCTTAGTGTTCACCCCTGACATGCTTGTAGGCAGCTATGAAGTCACCCCTCAGTCTTTTTTTTTTTCTTACACTCAGACTGAATAAACCCAGATCCCAAAGTCTCTCTTCACAGGGCCTATCCCCCACCCCCTCCCCAGGCCCTTGGTCATGCAGGTGGCCCTTCTCTGCACTCTTCTGAGCTTATCCATATCCTTCTTGAAGTGTGGTGCCCAGAACTAGACAGTACTCCAGTTGTGGTCTTACCAACACCAAGTAGAGGGGGAGGAGCACCTCTCTGGATCTATCGGCAACACAGCAGCTGATGTACACTGGAGTTCTATTTGCTCTGTTGGCCACTTCCTCGCACTTGGGGCTCATTCATCCTCTGGTCAATTGTCACTCCCAGGTCCCTTTCGGATGCTGTGCCAGCCAGTGGACCACCACCCATTTTATAGATCTGGGTAGGAAGAACCTTTACCATATGAAGCAGCTGGTACTTGTCCCTATTGTCATCTGATTGCATTCAGCCCATAGGACCAGCCTGTCAAGGTTGTCCCAGAGCCTTGCCCTGTCTTCAGATGTGCCCACATGTCCCCGCAGCTTGGTGTCATTCACAAACTTAATCATTATGCTTTCCACTCCCTCATCCAGGTCATTGATAAAAATGTTAAAGAGCACAGGCCCAAGCATTGGGGGACACCACTGGAGACAGCCCTCCAGGATGAGGCCACCCCAATTACAACAACTCACTGGGATCGGTCGCTGAGCCAGTTGCCAACCCACCTCACTGTAGCCTGGTCTAGGCCAGTACTCTCCTACTTGGTTGAGAGAATTTCATGGGAAACAGTATCAAAGGCCTTGCAAAGATATATGTGGCCAGAATATACAGTCGTCATGATACGGAAGAGGTACTGAGTAACATTTCTAACTAGCCAAAATGGCCGTGAACCAGGCAGACCCAAAGTTCAAACACTGAAGAAAATGACTGGGTAAAGTCCAGGCTGCCACACACAGTCAAACTTAAGATACAGCAATGGGAAAACAACCAACCAGCAATATTAGTTTAAAGCTTATAAACAACCTAGGGAGCTGAGTCAACACAGAGTTGCACCTAAACTAATCTTTAAAAGGTACAAGAGATGATCTTGGAAGCAGGGGGGAGGGTCAATGCACGAGAACAAGATAGAAAATAGCCAGAAAATGCTCCCCAATCTCACTGCTGCCAAAATGCTCCTGACCCGCCTCCAGTGCCAGGTAATAGAAATCTTTACTTCAAGCATGTGTCATGTGACCAATGTGTGTACACAAGAGCAGAAGAAACAGTGCAGCACTAGAGAATACACCTATTCTGAAACGTGGAACCATTTTCTCCCTGTTCAAGTCAAAATAAGTTTTCTGACTGAAACCATGTGCCCCTAAGCTCCTCCACTTCACATACTGCAGGAATCTAACAAGCATCTATCTACTAGGAGAGTGGGACTGGTGTTTTGCAGCTGGAAGTAAATGGGTTGAATGGATATTATATCATACATCTGACTTTGCCCAACTACTGAAGACAGCTG